AAATATTAATATGTCTCGAAAATCCAAATATTCTTATTATAGACTGTAACTAACATTACATCAGAACACATATAGCCTGGTAAGATCCACTGCCTAGGTATTGCCTAGGTTTTTTTCGTTTGAGTCATGGCATATCAACTATATAATAACCTAAAAAATGCTGCAGTTTTAATGGCGACCGGGGTTCATTCAGTTAAAAACACGTATACACGAGGAGGCTGCTACTGTAGCAGAAAAGAGAGAATTTCTTTCTACAATGTGTAAGAAAGTATATACCCGAAAAACTAAAAGTAATGTATTTCACAGAGGATTGGGTCAGCTGAACTGAATGAATCAGGAAGTCTTAAAGTTTCTCAAAATCGTAGCCTATTCAAGATCAAATTACTCGCGTTCTCGATAATGGAAATAAAGCAGTGGAACCCTGTAAAACTGAGCCATTTTGTAGTAAAAATTCAGATGTCCGACCCAATATTGGTTTTTACTAAAATTTTGATCAAGACAATTTAATTTTTTTTTAAACCGGAGGCAAAAGAGGGTTATCACTGAAATATTTTTCTAAAAAACATGTGTGCCACTGCTTTATTTTATCTTTTTAGCAAAATTGTGTAGTCCGTGTAATGTATGCCGATTAAAAGTTGTATCTTCGATATTTTGTCAGCCGATTTTGACCTTCTGATGAGATAAACGCAGGGTGGATGGGCCATATGGGAAAACGGGAAAATTCCCGGTGGTCCGATGGCAAGATGGGCCGGTGGGCCGGTCCCGATCAGAGCTCAAAAAAGCTTTGATTAGCAAAAATTAAATGGTTTATCTTCTAACTAAAGTGACGTAAGATCCTTAGTGACTCCATAACTAACTAATTAATTTGCATCAGTATAATCGTTAGTTGCTTTTAAACATAAACACCAATTTGTAAAATAACTATTATAAAATGTCTTTCTCTGGACTGGGACGGACTAAAAGCCAAGTCTGAGAACTAAAAGCCAAGTCTAAATTGTTGTTTAAAATATTGCTAAGATGAATTTGCTAAACATAATTTCTCTTTATCGAGTTTCAAATAAGTCCAATCGAGTTATTAAAGTTTGGAAATTTAAAAAATATATATTTTTTTTTAAAAAATTGAGCCACCATTTTTCGGTATTTGCATCTCTTTTAGTGCCGTAATATCAGAGATTAAGAAACTACACCGTGGGAAAATTTGCGGTGAACAGGAAGTTCTAAAAGTTTTCTAAAATATACAGGAAAATTTAAAAGAAAATGCTCGATTTTTAATATCTTTTTTAGCGATGGGAACTATCGAATGAATTAGACTATCGAATGGTTACTGAATGAATGATTTCATTCAGTTAAAAACACGTATACACGAGGAGGCTGCTACTGTAGCAGAAAAGAGAGAATTTCTTTCTACAATGTGTAAGAAAGTATATACCCGAAAAGCTAAAAGTAATGTATTTCACAGAGGATTGGGGTCAGCTGAACTGAATGAATCAGGAAGTCTTAAAGTTTCTCAAAATCGTAGCCTATTCAAGATCAAATTACCGTTCTCGATAATGGAAATAAAGCAGTGGAACCCTGTAAAACAGAGCCATTTTGTAGTAAAAATTCAGATGTCCGACCCAATATTGGTTTTTACTAAAATATTGATCAAGACAATTTAATTTTTTTTTTAAACCGGAGGCAAAAGAGCTTTTTCGCAGGAGCGAAAAACACCCTTACTTATTAATAAATAACTTAACCATTAATAAATAAAATATGTTTCTTCGTTATGGTCATTTTGTTTTTGTGGATTTGGGCCGGTTGCCTGTTTTTCCCGGGCCGGTTTCCACTTTCCCATCCACCCCTGGATAAACGTAATAGCTGGTGGCTGAATACACACGAAGAGATATCGTCAAATCGCAGAAATTGTATGGAAAAAGCTGTTAGTCATCAAGAAAATTTGAATTTTGGCAGATAAATTGCTGACAAATAAATTAGGACGATAATTTCGCCTAGTTCATTAAGGCTCTCTTTCCCACTGGCGCTAGCCTAGCATTTGTAAGGGTTTGGCTGTCACAGAATGCTGCAAAAACCATGTGACCTTTCTTCACGAATCTTTTTTTAGATGTTTGTATACATCTTAAGACGTGCTTATAATTATATTTCCTTCCCCAGACTCAACTCAAACTGTTTCAAATTTACCCCTAAAACACCCTAAAAAAAGATGATTATACAAGTCATTTTTTTAGCATTAAATGTATTCAAATCGATTTTAAAACTAATTACGAGCATATCCGGAAGCTTTTTTAACAAAGTAAAACAAAAATTATTTTAAAATATTAAAAAACATGGTCACAATTTTGTGACGCCCGACCCTCTGCAAACCCAATTTTGATCATTTTTATTGCCCGTAACGTGGCGCCCTCACGTGAATTTTGTTGCTGACGCTTTTGAAGGCGGGCAAAGGAAACCAGGTACGTATTCGCATTATTTGGATAAATTATTTTATAACGCTTGTCTCTTACACAATAATGTGAAATTTTTATTTTGTAATCAAATAACACGGCAAACAAAATTTGCGTTGCATCTGTTGTGTGTGTATGGTCATTGATCATGATGCAATGTAACAAAACATAAAACAATAAATTATTAATAAGATGGTTTGACCACTGTGAATTAATATTTTATGCTATTAAATTATTTTCACTATGCTTCAGTTGTCATGATAATGGAAGCCTACAGTAACTTGGACTGGAGATACTTAAAGTGCCATAATATGGAGATAGTTAAAGTGCCATAATAGTAGTACTCTACAAACAAAAAATAATTCGTTGAAAAAAAAAAACACACCAAAATAAAATAAAAAACACTGAGATGTAACTAAGATGATATCTTTACTCAAAAAGTATGTACTACATATACGAAGTCAATGGACATACATATAGGCAATAATAATGCATATAAAAATTTACTATATTAGATAATAATATTGTTTAAAAATGGACGATTACGATCGACTACTTAACTTTTAACAGAGATATTTCTAATAGGCATATTTCTAGATTTTCTAGAATCCTGTCATGTAGAATTCCGTAAGCGGTTTTTTAGTTTTTTCCCAAAAAAAACTTCATCTTTGAAAATAATTTCGTGTTTAATCCCCAAGGGTGTCCACACAGGAAACAACAGAGGACCAGGGTCACTAAAAAACATTTGAATATCTCCAAAAAAAAGATATTAAATTTCATCAAAAACTCTTGTTATCAAAAATTTACACACAAGGCAGGCTTTGCAGCATCGCAAAACAAAAGCAAATGGATAATGGAATTGTCGTAACATGTCAAAAATCGCTTCACTTGATAGTAGGCTTTGGGAAATGCTATTATATCGTAGCAGAAGAGGGTCTCAATTTCCTGTAGTTTTTTTGACAAATACTATTTTTTAATGATGATGTGTAGATGATAGGGTTTAAGTTTTACTGTTTTTCTGATCTTTCACATTTTAATAATATTTTCCCATAATTGTGTAGCGGTCATTTTGTTAAAACCTATATATTTTATAAAAAAAAAAAAAAACGATTTTTAAAAAAATGTAGAAAATCGGATTTTTTCCTACACATCTCATCTGGACTCGCATTTTGCTTAAGCGTCAAGTCCCTTATAATTTATATATCGCGCAAAAAAAACTCTGCCCCAAACTGCCACCCTGTCCGGTGGTAGAGCATATGCCTTTGTTCGGATGCAGAGTCCGGCTATAGTGCGTCAGGCATCTCTGTAGCTCCTAGAATAAACAAAACTTTGGAATTTTGTTTAAGTGCCAAACCTAAAAGTATGTACGAGGATGTATTCAGGAAGAGAGGAGATATATTAATATCAATATAATAATGGTGTATACCGTTACGAGTTGTTGAGGGCTAAGCCGTTTAATCTTTTTTCTCCTTTTTATTACAATTGCCCTCACTATTTGGTTATCTCTTTCATAGGTAACCACGCGCTAAGGGTATTGCGGGGTGTTGCTGTTGGCTACCTCGCGACTGTTCTGGACGAAGCCCAAAATCCTGGGCGACCCTCTAGTTCTTGGCTGCAAATTGGGTCTTTGGGCTCCCGTTTGCTCCCTTTTTTTTCCATCATTTATTTTCGTTTCTTCGCAATTTTTTTTTTTTTCATCTCCTGGGTTGCACACGGCGCCTCGTTGCATCGTTTGCTTCCTGGATTTTTGTGATTTGGGATCGGTTTCTTCGCTTCCTGAATCCTTACCGTACTGATGAAGCCTGAAGGCAGTTACATCAGTGTGCACTAGTGTAGGTGTGGTTGTGTGGGTGTGCCTGTCTGCACTGGTGTATAATGTTACGAGTTGTTGAGGGCTGAGCCGTTTAAGGTACGGTTCCTTCCATGCGGCCGTCGCATGTGGCAGCCGCAGCGCGACTGTCGCCTGCGGCCGCCGTTGAATCGAGTGGTTTCTTAGCTTCGTATCGCGTCGCGATTCAAGCTCGCGACTTGACTTTGATCAGTATAAAGACAACTATCTTTGATGAAAGTCGTGATGGATCATCTCACAATGTACTTATTACTAGAAGAAGAGGAGGATGAAGTATTATTATTACAATTAGCTAATCTAAAAAATGGAATTGCCCCTGTAAATCCAATATTTAAACAAAGACGGGATGAAGGATGTTATACTACATTGATAAATCGGCATCTGCAACAGGATGATGTAAAATTTAGAGAATATTCCAGGTTCAATAAAGCACAATTTAATTTTCTTATCGACTTAATAAAAGAAGATATAAAAACCGAGCCATACAACAGAGTTCAGTATCCCATAACCCCAGAGGAACAATTAGCCATTACATTAAGGTAAGTCATTAAGTCAGTAAGTTTAAACAAAAATGCCTAACGTGTCAATGAAATATTTATTATTATTAAACTCAAAGAAAAAACTAAATAAGAACAAAATAAACACAAGTTTCAAAAAAGTAATGAGTAAATATACTCAACAAAGTCATAAAATATAGTTATTTGGTTAAAAGTTATCTAGATCTAATAAGTAATCTTCTGATGACGGCGAATTGTAAGTCGTACGTAAATTGCCTCAACTCGTTGCACAAGGGGTTGCTGGGCCTGGTGTAAGTTCAAAAGCATTTTGTTGCTGACTTGATCCAGGATGAGAATCTGAGTATGGTTGAGATTTATGACGAGGTGCTGAGTATGGTTGAGGTTCATCATGATGAGGTCCTGAGTGTGGCTGAGTTTCATGACGAGGTGCTGGGGATGGCTGAGGTTCATGACGAGGTCCTGAGTATGGCTGAGGCTCATGACGAGGTCCGGAGTATGGCTGAGGTTCAAGACGAGATCCTGAATATGGCTGAGGTTCACAACGAGGTGCTGGGGATGGCTGAGTTTCGTGACGAGGTGCTGGGGATGGCTGACGTTCATGACGATGTCCTGAGTATGGCTGAGGTTCATAACGAGGTGCTGGGGATGGCTGAGGTTCACCAGCATTTCTCTGTTCTAGTTCGAATACCAGGTGCATTGTTCTCAATTTCGCTTCATTGATTAACTCAGGTCTCAATGCCTTTACTGAAGCTGCAATACTTTGGAAAAACAAATCCAGAGAATCTGGTTTGCTTGGACCAATTTTTTTAAATATTTCATTTCTTTCAGCACTTCTTTCTTTTATTGCAGCGATAATGTCGTCATTTATCCTCTCTTTTTTGCCGCGACTTGATTTGGAAAACTGTTTTTTTATTGCATCTGCTACCGTATTTCGAGCCGGGTTAATGTCTGTCAGGACAGAGGCAGAACTACTTGGAGATGATTCTTGAGACACTTCCTCTGACTCAGTATCATTTTGCGTGTCTTCCTCACTCATCATGTCATTCTCTTCGTGTTGATCAGTTCCGAGAGATGTACTTCTACCAAGAAAGAAAAATAACACCGGTATATTATATTTAGAGTACTTTTTGAACAAGAACTCACGGGCGTTTGTGCTCGGTTTGGTCCAGGAAGGACAACATGTCTGCTAAAGCCCATTTCGCCTGTTTGGGCAATGCAGCAGAACCTGTGCTTTTTCTTTTTTTTTCTTCTTCTATTGTAGGTATCCTTAATATTTTTCCAACGTTTTTTGCAGTCGTCCACTAAAATTGTAAAATAATATAATAATAATAATAAAATAATATTATAATTAAAATTTTGTTATTGATATTTTTTTCATAATAAATATATTTTTTAGGTTTTTGGCAACCGGTGAGGCATTACGTTCCTTAGCTTTCACGTTTCGAGTCTCCCATAGTTATATTAGCAGAATCATAATAAAGACATTATCATCATTAAGAAGACACTATCATTATACCGCCATTATCATTATATGAAAAAAAAAACAAAAAGCTAAGGAATTTTGTCAAAAATGGAATTTTCCTAATTACCTAGGAGCTGTCGACGGTAAGCACATACGAATTCCATGTCCTTCACACAGTGGATCTTTATTTCATAATTATAAAGACTTTTTTTCCATTGTCTTGCTTGCTGTTGTCGACGCCAATTATAAATTTATTTTTATTGATGTTGGTTCATATGGAAAAGAAGGAGACAGTGGCATCTTCGATAAATCAAAAATTGGCCAACAAGTTAGGGATGGTTCCATTTTTCCACCTCCAAACAAGCTACCAAATACTGATCAGGTTCTTCCATATGTCTTGGTAGGCGATGAAGCCTTCAGATTAAGTACACATATGATGAAACCGTTCCCTCGACCAGTAGCCAGCGCTGACGATCGCAGCAGATCGGGAAAATGCCTTTTGATTGCTAAGTCAAATCTTTTTTCGAGCTTTTTTTATACAATGGTGATTAGTTTGAATCCATCAACAGCTGACGATTTAATTATAGTGGCATGTAAATACGTACCGGAACGAAGCATACCTGA